CATGTTTCTCATCGAATGAATTTGTGCCATGTTTTTGTAACGATGGGGTCAATAATATGCAATACAAGTATACCTTGCGAGCGAGCCAATTGTTCATCATCATACATTGCATCAGCGCCTATCTCTTCAAACAATGCCTGGCTGTAAATGTAACATGTGGGCCTGAGTGGTCGAACTTTAGTTGTCGTATTGACATGTCACACTAGGACAACATTTCATCTCTGAACTTGCAGTTGAATTTTTTTTCCTTGCATTTTTCGTAGTGTTTGACAGCAATTAATAATGTATCAACCAAGCTGTGTTACGAGACACGACTTGTGCGAATAAGTACTGTTACAATCAACTACTAATAATAGACATGGCAACTGTAAGGAATAATGGGAGACTAGACCACATTGAGGATCAAAGTATAACATATTGAGAGTATCCATTGTTCTTTGTTCCTCTTTCGGATTCAATATGTACGCCCATTTTGCCCGAATAAATCGTGAAAATGAGGATTTCTCCTATTACCTATAGGATTGTCAAACATTATTCTTCAGCCTCAATCATTCAATTACTGTTTAAAGAAGAATGCGTTTTCATTTGATAACCATCTCGACTTCTTATAATGGTTAGACTGATAATTCCGTCATGATTCACTCTATAGTTTAAAGATTCGCGAATTTCAATTTTATTCGAACCCTAATTAACACCAATGTCTTTATCAGGCCTGGGTTACAATATTTGACGCAAAGAGGATACTTACACATGACATTAATGGGTTCGACTACTATTTGTCATTATTATATTAAATATTCTTTGTTAGCTGAAAGCGGAATTGAACGGCATTATCACAACGAAAATCATTATTTCGCTTTACGGAATTATTTTTATTACGACAACTTGCTTGACCTTTTGCGTGGAACGTGTTTGGTGTACAGATTATTTAAAAAAAAAACACGCTGGTCTAATTAATAACAAACAGGTTACGTCACTCGGTTCCGAAAGAATATGGTGTTTCCGCATTTCAGAAACTTTCTCTAAAGAAACGATTTACAATTGGGCGATTTAGGTAGAACGAATCTTTGATGTAAATATCGTAATCGTGCTTACGAGTTCTTGTCCCGACATTGTTATTGTAAGATTACTCAAATTAAACTAATCCAATTAGACTGTGTTATGACAGTGCAGTGCTGTATAAGCATGTGCTCACTGTTCGCTGTTTCGCTCTTTTACTCAATGAAACGTTATTACGATAATGTTTTATTTTTAGTAGTTACGTCGATGTAACATTTAGGGTTGGGGTAAGGGTAAGGGTTAATGGTTAATACTAATAGTAATACTAGTGGTAAAATAGTAATAGTAATAGTAGTGGTAATAGTAATAGTAATAGTAATGGTAATAGTAATAGTAATAGTAATAGTAATAGTAACGGGTGACACCATTGGGCGTCTGCGTTTGAACACTAAAGACATTTTTGCTTTTTGCACCACCCCTGCAGCAAAGTGTCCACCACACAATACAGTACGAATTGAATTCTACTATATTGTTGACACCCATGCAATTATTTGTCCACTGTTGCATCCCCCATATTAATTTAATTTAATCAAATTACGTATATGCACCCCAGTATTGTTCATTGCATTCTTTCCCCTCCCCCCCAGTTACCAACATTTTTTCTATTACATTTTTGCTCGCTCTCACACACACGCTCTCTCTATCCACCCTCTATAATCCAAATAGCTAGCCAAAATAATATCTAGCTATTTATACAATTTCTTACAAGTACACACCCCTCCCAGCGCACAAAAGTGGAAGAGAAGGGGTTAGGTTTCACACAGGAACTCATTCAATAAATAGTAGCATTCTAACAATCTTAAACCGATAAGAATATTTACCCATTATACTCTTACTCTCACACTTATTCACACCTGTGCTGCACCCCACTAAACTACGCTCCTCTTCAGCACACCCTTCTCGCTAACGAACAGTTCCTCTACTTTATCTCTAAAATACTTCTACTGTTGTAACTAACATGGGAGGCCAACTAACAAAAGAACAGGCTCTTCTGCCTTTCGGTTATGTCTCCACCGAAAACGACAACAAACATCCGCGGACGCTGCCCTTCCCGTCCATCACAAGAGGACTTCACACAATACACGGCGCACACTCATCTCCCGAATCTACTAACCCTCTCGACTCTGCAGACTATTCACGTATTGTAAATACTAATACTCACGACACCTCCTCATTGCACACGGTTGCAACTGAAATCTCTCCTGAACATCGACGAGAATCTGTACATACACACGACCATGATGGAGAGTGTCAGGCATGCTGGGACGGTGTGCCTGAGATTGTTGACGACTTTGAAGTGGATAAAACTGGTCTGGCAGAAATATCCTTCAAAGAGTTGCCTAGTCTGACGGAAATTGGCTTGTGTCGAACAGGATTAGCAAAATTGAGTCCTAACATATGCTTCTTGTTCACAACCACGACGCTACAAATGTAAGTACTCTTACAAACTAAAAGACTAAGTGTGTGTTTGACAAGATTTCATAATTGATCGATTAATACAATACGTGTGTGTGGGAGTTACCGAGAAAACTCAATCTCTTTATAATAGCCACTCGTAGTCCAATTCAACCTGTATTTCCCATCTCAATCCATTCATTAACAAATTTTACGTTTTCTTTTTTCCATATACAGTTGCTGCAACCAGTTGACTTATATACCAGCAGAAATAGGTTACATGAAGAGTCTGACCTCACTTGATGTATCAAACAACCAACTTCAATACATCCCTGACACTGTTGGATTTCTGCAAAGACTGGTCGAACTCAAACTATCAAACAATAAGCTCGTATCAATACCGTCATCAATCGGTTCACTAAAGAAACTCAATACTCTCTTGCTGGATTGCAATCGCATAACAGAGCTACCGGCCGAACTTGGAGAACTCAAAACCCTGGTTACGCTTGATATCAGCGAGAACCCTATAACTGTGATTCCAGCCGAGATAGGTCGATTGGAGTACCTCAGAAAACTGAAAATCGACTGGTGTCCACTGCAAACCGAATTTGTGCACGAGTTAGTCCACTCTCCTCCGTCACTCAAGGAACTTGCTGCTCGTACTATCGTTCGTCTTCAGATTCCGATTCCAGAAGATTGTACAGAAGATATGAAAGATTATCTTTCAAGTGCCAAGAAATGTTCGTTCTGTTCCGGACCTTACTTCGAGTCGTATGTCAAACGTGGTAAAATAATTGAAAAGCACAGTCAGCATATTCCGTGGGAATACAGATTATGCTGTCCGCACTGGAATACGGAACAAGAGCGTGTCAATCTGCTATTCTGTCCGTTGCCCTCTACTGCTCCCGCTCGTGAACCGTATCGTAGGTTACGTTCCCCGTCTGTAGATAATTACGCTGATGTCGGGAATTCTTCGATAGTCTCAGATAATGCTTCTGTTATGTCATCGCAGAGTAAAATTCCCCGAGGGGTATCCACGCGCTCGATAAACATCAACTCGCTCACCCGTACGCCTGTACTTCCCAACTTACCACGGATGCCAAGATCGTCGTCCCCACAGTTGAGCATCAGAGAGGACGATAAGAAAAAAAATACGAGCAAAAAGAGTGGCTTGTGGAGGAAGAAAAAGAACAGTGCTGCTGAGGCTATACTAGGCAAGTCAACTATGCCTCGTGCCGGTAATGGGTCAAAGCTATTGCTTAGTAGATGGCGGTCAGGAACTGCAGAAAAGTTTTGAAATGATATGCGATTAGATCACGCACACAATTAATGATTATATCAGTTTATAATCGACTGTAAATAATCGATTACTTTTCTGATATTTGTTTTATTCATTTAATTTTTTTTTGTGTTTTATTTTTTCTTTGTTTTGGTTATGGGATGGACATTCATGCATTTCGGGTTGGCTTTTTTTTTTTCGTTAGCATTCGATTTTACTGGCTGACGTATTTCGTAGCATATTTCATTGGCGTATTTTTTCCCTTTCGGATAGAGGAAAAGAACAAGGAAAAAAAAAAAAGAAGCGTGTAGATCTACTTTCTAATTTTTGGTCCCATTCTGCATTTGACCTGTTTCTGATCGATGTTCGGTATTATAATCACTTTACAAACACTTATTTTTTCAGAAAAGAAACTTTACTTGCATTATATAATAGTTCATTCAAGTGGCATCTTTACATATCTTTCTCTTTTTTTTCACTTTTTGTTTCATACATCGATTCACAACTTTTGCGATACGATCAATTTAGTAATTGATCGTCTTGATAATCACTTGTAATTGTCACCACTCCTTACTTACAACTAATCAATGCGTTTAGTTCTTTAAATTCCATAGTCTGCCAAGTTTCTAATTTTAATTGCAAATACACATACAAAAAAGTGCGCATATTCATTTCAAAACACTCTTGTTATTTCCGATTGTCGCCCATTCGACATCTGCTGGGCACGCTTGCAGTGCAATAATTGTGTCAGCAGACTCTCCATGGCACCGGAACAAAAGGATGACTTGAAGTCAACGTTTAAAAGTAATAGCCTCAGTATTGTGTTTCCTCGAGTTCCGCCGGTAACTTTGTGACATGAGAGAAGAGCCAACGACAACGAAAAATTGGGTTAAAAACTCAAAGTATTGACATGAAGATTCGTTATCGATGATGATTGGAGCTATCACCCTTTGGCGAGTTTGAGTTGATAGTTCTGACGAAGTCGTTCCTTACGTATTTACGCTCGGCATTACTTCGTATTGGAGATGAGAGAAATGCGATGATGGAGTGATTTCTTTAGTGGATTAAGTGATGGTATGATTAGACATACGTCTATTTAATAAGTTGTATTTTTATATGTACTGTAACGTATATGTGGTACTTCCTCTATATATGCTTATGTATGTTTATATTTTTTTTTCTATTCATACACATTGGACAGCTGGACAATGCACCCTCCTTCCTGACTTACTACTTCCTATCCTTGTATAAACCCATCTTACCCTTGTCTTTCCTGTCTTTATCTGCTATGATTTTGGTGAGAGTGAGCTGACTAGTTCTATGCCACGAATTGATAATGACCGATTATGATTCTTCTTTCACTTATATTTATTCTCCATACTCATTTCGTATCGACCACTGTGTCGACCACTATACATTTTGTCACCCCTCTCCACCTATTTGTCTTTCCCTCTTTATATATTTCGTGTATAGATACATTTATGTTTTTTCTAACCTTTTTTTTTAGAAGATTTTGGGGGAGAAGAATGTCGAGTGTATTCTATACAATCACCTGTATTATACATAACTACGACGATTGATTACTACTATTCACTCATTCCATGTAGTGATCTCTTTATACACGCGAACCACATATATTTATACTCTGAATTGTGGGATTCAAATATATATTTATATTTCATATAGTTCATATGATATGATTTAGAAGCCTGGCTATAGTATTCGATCGTTTGATACTCCATACACAAAAAGTTTGCACTTTCCTTTTTTTCTGTACTTGTTATAAAAACCTATTGTAATAAAATAAATGTGAAGAATACAGCAAAATTAATTGATATTGAGCAAACGCATGCTATTGTAGAAGCTGCCAATTGGATAAAACGCAAACAATAATTTGGACAACAATTTGGATAACAACTTCAATTCGTGGAAAAGTTTTGCTTGTGCCAAATTTCGTCTGCATAATAATGACACGGTCCACTCGTTACGTCAGACAGACTACACCAGAACCGGAGAAGGTATAGACTCAAATAGTGAGGTTACACGACATTGTAATCAAATATGTTGATTCGAAAGGGGTGTAACATAATAGTTTGGGGTAGACGGCGTATGAGCTAAAAATTAGTACGTTTGACAAGGCTTTGCTCGAGTGGCTTGGGTACAAAATAAACGGAGCATTTTAATTCGTATTAAGACAACTAACATTATGTATGATAAAACTTTTTGCTTAAAGTTACAACACGTATCCGTATAAACCATTAATATAAACTTAATTTATTATGGAATCACAGCATGATTGGAAGACATTGGCAAGATAATCGGCGACTGCCTTTCAACGCCTCGATGGCCTCTCGCAAAATGTTGTAAACCACCACCATTTAGTTAAATTAATAATTAGCGTCGTTTTCCAGATACCCAATCGGCACAAATAATACTCAACTAGCCTCTTCGTTGCTACCAAGACTCCCGTTCTCAATCTCTCCGTTGACACGTTCGCTTTTGCAACCATGATCAATTCCTCGCTGAAACAATTATTACCAAGTTTTTTGGGCAACTTAATATGTCTTCTCTTCCAACTGCAGCAGTATCTGATAGAATGTTGTTCAAATTTATGATACATTCGCTCGACGCATTTGCATTTGATTTTCTCCTAGATTGTTTATACACTCGATGACAAAAGTTTAAATCCAAAACGTGTATAACGTTTATTTCAGACTTCACTAAACAAAAATTTAATAAAATTTTTTCTGTACGCTTTTCATCATAATTGTATTTTGTAAAACTTTAAAATGTAAGACAAAAGTTTACATCACACTAATTATTTTATTCAGTAAGCTGAAACCTAAACTCGAAACCTTCATAAATCTAATATCTGATTGGCTAACCATCATTAGCAATACATTCTTCTAGACTTGTGTAGTTTATCAGCTGAAATTTTGTTATTTTTATCAATAATTTTCTTGAAAATTTTTTGTTTGCTATCACTAAACAAGTGGGGTCGACCGCTTCTTCTTTTGCTTATAGGCCTTTCTGAATTTACATAACGTCTTATAGTAGTTTTGACTATTCCAATGGGGAAATCGAGCAGCTTTGCATTGTATGACAACCCTTGCAAAAGCCAATAATTTGTGAGCGCATTGCTACTGTTAGCTCGCAATTTCCCACAAAATTGACACTATTTTGATTCTTCAATGTACATTACAACAACAAACCAAAAAGGAAAGTGTTGTTAGCAAAAAATATACAGGAGAAGTAGAGCTTCCAAATGATATAAATTTTATCAAATTTTGTTAGTAAACTTCTGAATAAACGCCATAAAAGATTTTCAACCATAGGTTTCAGCTTACTAGTTAATGTGACGTAAAAAATTTTTTGACGTTTATTTAAATTTTTACAAACATAATTATAATGGAAAAATACAGAAAACGTAGAGATTTTGATATAATAAATTTTTTAGTTTGATTTAGTGAATTTTTGACATAAATGTTATAAAAGTTTTGGATCCAAACTTTTGTCCATTGAGTCAGTTGAGTTTGTGTTCTTTATTAGGCGAGGCGCAACTAATACTAATACTGAGGTAAACTTTGTTTTCTTACTTTAATTTTGTTGGTTGGGGTTATTCCTGCCTGATAGAGGACCCTCTGCGCTTCACTGGGTCGTTAGTGCCGTCAAGCCGCGACTAAACCCAACTACCAATTCTCTTCCCCCTTTCCCAACTCTTTCATTTCTTTCTATCCAAACTCCTTTTTTTTAAACATGACGCATAACATGTCAGCAGTAGATAAGTCATATAATATCAAAAAAATATAAAAGTCTTGACTGTATTAGAAATAATATTAATATGGACACAATAATAATAATCTGTTAACCTTGGATACGCTTGTTTCTTCTAATTCGTTTATCTCTATGAAGAGGTTGAATATATCTCGAACTCCGTTTAGGACATCTGGTTATCGCCTTGATTGTGCACTTGGGCACATTGTATTCAACGTTCCACATTTCTTGCCCGGGTAGTGTTGTCGGGAGCTTCACTTAGGTTACAGGTCCGACTGCGAGAGTTACGCCTTCGAGTCCACAGTGCCAACAATAAACTTGGTGTTTCAAGTTTATGTCTGTTCAAAAAGAGATTGATAAAATACTGCAATAATAAACTTTATATGCATTTGATAGTAATTTTCTAAACCATATAAACGTTTACTTAAGTCTAACGAAAAATCGTATAATAGGAATGTCTCAACACGATTTAGCTTACTTAATAGATACAGTAACATACTTTTATATAAAAAGTTTAACGAATAAAATAAGTCTAACTGCCTAATTTCCCCCCAGAATATTGTCTGTAATATAAGTCTAACGAATAATATTAATACTAGAAATCGAGTTACCGTTACTTTTTATAGTGTTACTATTACTATTATCAAATTTATTATTATGTAATAGTGTGCATGTCGCCATATTAATATTATACATAGGTATTGTCGGTGGCATTTGCAGCATTATACATCAATCAATAACGCTCTGACTTCCTAACTCTAATTAAATGTAATAGTAACACTATTTGGAAACCACACTATTTAATATTAGTAAATGTTGAGTTCAATCACCTTGTTGTAATCCATTACAAAATAATAATAATATAAAGGACGTTTTAATTATGGTCGAGGATTAGTATCATGTTGAGTATATTTACTGTGTTTATGTTTTCTACAATTCTGCCAGTATTTGCCATTCATAATTTGTTGCATTAGCGTTATGCTGGTCGTCAACTTTTTTTTTTTTTTTGGTTTCATCAAAGAGCTTTTCTACTCCTAATAATACTTTATCCAAGAGATCAAAAATATGCGAGCGTAAACGCGTATGTACAGTAATTTATTTTATCAATATAATAATTAACAAATTTTTCGTGTCGTGCGATTTCCGACATCATATACTTACCGAGCAATTATCGAAAACCTAAATACATTATTATAATACTCATACATATTATATTGACAGACCTTTACCTCAAACAAAACATT